TATATGTATGTATGTATGTATATATGTATGTATGTATGTATATATGTATGTATGTATGTATATATGTGTTTATTTATATATATATGTTATATAAATACATATACTTATGTAGTACGTATTTTATGATGTATACGTACGTATTTTGTGATGATATGTATATATATTTATATACATATACATATACATAAATAGGTGTATATATGTATATATATAAACGTATCTCCTCTTATATATATTTTTGTTATAGACTCTTGGCACACAGCATTACTTCACTTAGTTTAATTTTGTGGTGATTCACAAACGCGTAGCCAATGGTCACAATGACACTTACGCGAAAAGTTTTCAAATTTTCATGTCGCCGACTATGATGATCATGTCGTTGGTGTTTATAGCGTTACTGAAAAGTACCTGCCAAGTCAACTTTCCCGATTTGCTTGCCTATACCTGTCTTTTTTCGCACACACTGTTCTATTTTGTAACAGATTTTTAACTATAGTCTGTCGGATCACTGTGCTCGCGCGACTCTTTAAACTTAAAACGGACAGCAAACGATTTTTTTTAACAATATTTGAGCAAAGGGAAGCCAGTCAGTTAGCTTTTTGTTTGGTTCTGCAAATATACACACTGACAAAAAATTGCTGGGAAAAATCAACAATGAAAAGAGCATTATTTTCTGAGCAAATAGGGAAAGAACGAGGAGAGGAGGAGAGCGAGGAAAGTTCAAAAGAATACCGTTAATATTTTCTAGATAACTTCGTTACTTAGGCTATGTATACAACAATCGGTCCAAAGGAATTTTATGCCAAATATATAAACGCCATGCACCATCAACGCCACCGCCGCCACCACCGCCACCACCACCACCGCCACCACCACCCCCAACTCCACGAAATGTACACACACTGTATTCTTTCTTCCTTCTAGCGAATTTTACACACAATTTATTTATTTATTTTCTCATTTTTATCTATATTTATATTTATTTATTTATTTATTTATTTTTTTAATTTCTTTGCAAACTCTTCCCAATAATCAAAATGGCTTTTGTAAAGTTGCGAAATTTTCTTGATTTTATTATTAAATTTTTCATAAATATTTGCAATAATATCTTTATAGATTTTGCCTTTTGTCAAAACGTTCACATTACCACGAGTCGGCGAGAATCCTTCTGGGCTCTCTCAAAAATTTCCACCATCATTGGTTTGATTTTTCTAACACACAGCGACGGCTGTGGCTTTTTAAACGAAAAAGGAAAAAGCTTTACAAACAATTATGAATTTGCTTTCTTTCTCTTCCTCTTTCTCATTCTCTCATTCTCTCTCGGTCTCCTTTCAAAGTTCTACTTGCTTGCTTTCTCGTTCGCAAACCACTACCACCACCTGTCAGATGACTAACATGTTAAATTTTCCATGCTATGTTATAATTAAGAACATAATAGGCGGCTTATAAAAATTTCTATCTTTTTTTTTTGTACAAATTTCCTGTTCGCGAGGATAAGGCGGATGCGCAAAGTGCACATGCTCTAATGTACGCGTTACGAGAGAAGGGCTGGTAATGTAAAACAGCTGTTCAATCGGAGCTTCTAAAAACTTTCACTCCTTAGTACTGAGCAAACTTTTAAGCTATACGAATATAGAAAATCCTGATTAGGGCATAATCAAGTTGGTCTTGGAATAGATACAATTTGCTTCCGTAAATAAGGCAACATTAAGGGAACACAAGATACAAGTTGAATCATTGGTAACGAAACTTTGTGCGTATTTCCCTTTTCCGATAAACGACATCATGGCAGGGTTGTCTGTCAGTGCAAAGCTTCAAAGCTTAAAAGCAGCTTTAAATATAAAATTAAATAGGCGAGTAAAGCTAATCGCGACATTAAGCAGCATAAAAAGGACTATGGTATATTTGTGCCGTTATTTTCAGTTCATAATTTATTTTACACAATACAATTTTTACACAATACAATAATTTATATAAAGTAAAATTATTTACAAAAAAAAAAAAAAAAAAAAAAAACTAAATAAATAAATGAAAAAGAAAAGCAAGTTTCAATTATTTCGACACATTTTTCAGTTGCTTCGATATAATTTTAAAAAATAAACAACAAAGCCAATCTTATAAAAATTTTTAAATGAAAAAGGCTCCAAAGCAAATTTGAAAGTCTAATAGAAAATAGATTAGAAAACATAATAGAATATAGAGTAATGTCAAATATTAACTAAATATATTTTAATAAAAATATTTAATAATATACCATCAAATCTTTTTTTTTCTTTTTTTTTTTTTTAATTAAATTGATTAACCAGTTTTAACAAAAGTTAGTTAAAAAAATTCATAAAATAATACTAAACACTTGACCGAAGATACCAGATCTTTTTGAGAAAAGTGTTTTAAGCAAAACTGGTCACTTCCGTTTTCTCTCCTTGCTTTCCTTATTTTTCCCTTTTTTTGGATGTGTAAAACTTTAGGCATTTTGTTGGATAAGGCTCTCCCACTGAGCTATTAAGCCACGCGAAGAAGGTGCTTCCTCTGGATTCAAATCGCACAATTGAGCCAAAGACATGGCAGGGCGCATGCCACGCTGTTTATCGTAATCGGGTAGAGGTGAAGCGCTACCAAAAAAATAAATTCAATTATATAGGCATACGAAGTTTATATGTTCATTTAAGTTTTGAGTATATTGAGTAAAGACTAACCTAGGTGATGAATCACACATGTCGCCTATCGATTTGGCCGCCCTTAATTTGCCTGGGCCATAGCAATGCTCTACTTCAGAATCATCATCGTCGTCGTCAGTCTCCACATTTCTGACAAAGGAATTTTTTGAGTTGTAAAAGTACATTGAAATCTGTTGCACAAAACGCATCCATACTTACTCGTTATCAATTGAATCTAATAGATCAGATGTAGATTGTCGTATTTTACGTATTTTCTTTAATTCGCTTTCACGGGTTTTTAAATCCTGCAGTTCACGTTGTATTTTCAGCTCCACCGGTACATAGCCCGGACGAATGGGCCGCCCTTCCGAATCTCGCTCAACCACCGGCGGTGTTAAAGTACTTGAAGGTATTAAGGTTGATGACCGTATAGAAAAATCTGGTAGTTTACCATTACTAATGACCGGTGGCGAAGCCGGCGTATTGGGTGGTGTCATAGAAGAAGGCGACGAGCTAAGACCTAAGATAGCTGCAGCATTCTTCCCGTTCAAATAAATCTGCTTGGACGCTAATACGTTACTCTTATTGGAGCATATTTGAAGTTTACCGCGCGAAGCTATAAAGCGTTGCATAACCCCTTTATGAGCCGGACTCGGGGCAAATTGACGAGATTTTTTTATAACATCCAAATGAGGTGTGGATACCGTGCGCGTTATAAGCTTCTGCTGCGGCGGTTCTGGCGTCAGCGCATAACAATTAGGTCCTATGTAACGATGCTCTCTATTAACTAAAGCATTTTGCAAATTAACATTTACTTTTAAAGCTGCTTCGTTCAATTTTTTTATGTTAGCTGAAACGCCATGAATAGGACTAACAGAAGAAGCTGATATACCCGAATCGTCAGAATGATGACCGTCATCCTTAGTACTGTTGACGCTTAGAGCCAACGATGGTATACTGCAATTACCGTCTTCGCTAACAACGAACGAAGCGGCCGTAAGTGGAATCGGACTTAAAGAAGTCAAACTGCTATCATTTCGATCGTCGTCGTCGCCTCGCTCCAACGTGTTATTATTGCCAGCTTCGGTTTCAAGATCATTCACCGTCACACTGCTAGTCGACGATATAAGTTGGCGATACTCTTGTTCGCGCCGTTCAACTTCTTTTATTTCCTCCTGTATACGAACCAATGGATCAATTTTCTGCAAAAATACAAAACATGAAAAAGAAACATGAACTTACAAATTTTGATCTTTCGAATATCATCGAATGCATAAAATGTCTGAATGCAGAAACGACTTCAGTGCGACAAGCGACGCCCAAATTTTGAATAAAAAATCCAAACATTTTTTTAATTTAATAATTTATATGTGTATGTTGTTTGTTTTAAAAGTAAAAGTAATCATTTGTATATAATTTCGATTGTTTCTTATTTGCCAATAAACAAAAAAAAACAAAAAAAAAAAAAAAAAAAAAAAAAAAAAAAAAAAAAAAAAAAAAAAACCGAAAGAAAACTCAACTTGTTGGTATGTATGTATATGCGTGTATTTATAATGTATTCATAGCTAAAACATATGTTATTTGGGCAGTTATGAGCAACATTCAAGCAAACTTGTTTATATTGTACCTTTCTTTTTTCACCCAACTCATATTCATTCACTTCGTACGAATGCTCATGCATATACGATATACATATATTTAAAAAGGAATTGAAGCAAATAGATAAAACAATGCGGTACAATTGAATAGAAATCGTCCACTACTTAAACATGATTCTATAAACATTTCAACCCATAATTAGTAAACAGCCATCGAGACTCATTTTAGAAAGAGTAGTATTTCCCTTCTCTTCTCCTATTAGTATAAATATAATTTTCACAATGCAAATGAAAACAACTCTTTGATAACTAAGTGGAAATTAAAAATTTTCATTTTTATTATTATTATTATTATTATTATTATCATTAATTTCGCCAGAGAAATAAATTCTAAGACTAAACTCTTAAAAGCACTAGCATCAAAGGCTATCGGCTTTTATTAAAAACTCTACCGCACTTGAGATTCGAACCCACGACCATTGACTTGCTAGTCGAGATTCCTCGCCTTCGGCTACTCAGGCGGCTTTCATTCATTTTTAACTGTACTGGATGTATAAAACTAGAGGTGATTTTTCAAATTTCTTTGTTACATATACGTATGTTGACATATGTATAGATATGGGTAAAATGGGGGAAAGGGTAGAATTTACATGAAGAAGGGCTTATACGAATTCTCTCAATGAACGGCTTATGGATATAATAAGTTGGCAATAGTGACGTCACTATTAACATTTATTTAAAGCTCATTATAACTTTAAACTAACATTCTTTGATCTTCTATTTCGCATTGCACTTCCCAAATTTTCGTTTCTTTTTTTTCTACTCTACTTTAAATTAATAGTTAATACTAACAAAAAAAAAAAAAAAATAAATTAAAATAAAATAAAATAATATTCTTAAATTTGGAATTTTTTCATAATATCAAAATGAACCATTTTCTTATACCACGGTTTGACTTACGCTCTCACAGACCGACAACAATCTTGCATCTTGGTTGGAAAGGATGTTGAGGATGTTGTTCAGTATCATAATTTGTTCATTTCTTTAACCAAACGTTGTGCGGAATTTGCATTAACAACTTGCATCAATTTTTTATCTTATGAACGTTTGTTTCTTTTATACAATTCAAAATCAAAAAACATATAACGTGTATATAATAATTTACGTTCATATGTAGACTATAGTAAATGAATACAAACAAAAACCAAGAATATATTTATTATTCCCACAATTCTCGTACGAAATGCTGAGAGGCGAGCTCCTGCTACGATTCGTAACAAAACACGCCCGTTTTTAAATATCAAAAATTTATTAATTATTAAAAAAAAAGATTTGTGACCTTTTTTTTGCATTGAGTTAAAAGTGTTTTACTCGTCATTGGGAAATGAGACCAAAGTTTAACAAAATTCGTCATAATGATTCAGAGGTATAGTAGAGATGGCTTATCAAAATTAATAGAAAGCAGATGATGAGCGGGACGCCAAAACCACTCTTAATGTAAATTACGAATAAACAGTTCAACGGATCGTATTCATATCTGTGACCCGCTGCTAAAACGAGACGTTAATCGCACCAGTTTTAAAAAAATGAATAACGCACGATACTCATCGTCATCGTCATACATAAGATGGACACGAGAATAACGTACGGAGAAAATCATCGTCGCGAACTGAATGACGATTATAAAGCCTGGATTGGTGTTACGTAATATAAAGTAATTGAGCGTTATGGACATTGATTGCACTTTCTACGCTCTAGAGAATGAATAGAATAATCGAGAATGAATCGTCTAATCGAGAGAAAGCATTCAGAAATGATCAATAGAAAAACGGCAATGCGAGACCACGCAAACCTTTATAAACTTGGCAAAAATTAAGCGAACTTGGCTGGATAAATTCGGTATCGTGATCCTATAACTTGCGTCGTCCGATTGCTGTCCGGTTTCTTTCGTCTCTTTTCCTTCAGCAGACTTTTTTTAGTGACGTAGAGCTGTCTTCAAAAGAGAGCTTAAGTAAATTATTTCGTTCAATTTTTCGCCCAGAAATGCATCTACATCTACAACGGTAGCATAATGAGTTTATTAAAAGAGATTATCGACTAAAATGATATATATCTGATTAAATAGAGTCAGTCCATCTAGAATAGAACATAAGTGTGTTTGAATTTTCATAAAAGAGAAAACCAACAAAATTTTTTTGTTGGATTCAAAGTAAGCTTTTTTGTTTTCAGAATTAATATTCAGCATTCCAAACCATATCACACAATAGTTCGTAACTAAGTAAGATGACATATCGCTTATTTTTGTGGAACAATGGAAAAATCGAAATTTTATGCGTAAGGTCACTAAAACAACTATACCTTGCAAACTAACGGTTGGAATCGTCGTAAAATTTTGACACATTCCGTTTGAAGGCCCCATGATCTTATCGAGGAATGCATTAATGTATTATAATATGTATATATATATATATATGTATATTTGTTTGTTTTATATATATATATGTGTGCGTGCGCATGCATAAATATTGTGCATGTATGCGTATACATATTTATGTAATAGATGATGTGTGTAATTAATATCGTTATTATCATAATATATGCACACACCGTCAAACAAACCACAATAACCTCTGCATTAGACTGAGTGCAAACCCTACCCCTTCTCTACGATAAATGAATAAGTAAATGATTTATGGAACGTACTACCACTAGCATTATCAAGGGCAACAGCAGTTAGTTTCTTTTCATATTTTGCATTATTTCCATTCCCGATAATGTCTGCATACTACATTTCTCTTCTGGCCTGTTACGTCGCAAACCTAATTAAATTCATATATTCTTCCATTTAGGAGACCATATATATCGATCAGTTTGAATATAGTGACAATAGAAAAAATATTATGTAATTACTGCGTGAATTCTTCTTTGAAAGTTTGGACAATATTTTGTCATATCCGAATGAAAATGAATTAAATGATATCAACCGATCGGACGAATATTGTTAATTACAAATAGTGGACAACAAATATATTGCTGCAAATTGTTCTATATACATATATATAATCACTTATATGCAATTTCCATTATTCAATTCATCTCCCGGCGAACTTTCACGCTCACGTATATTAAATGACAACAGATTGTTCGATAGAATGTGTTGCAACGTGTTATTTGAGAAAATAAAATTTTCAGTTCTAATGGTCCTAATCTGACGTCATAAAAACAAAAATATTTCTTTTCATTTACATGGATTTATTTACTTTCGGCAATAAGTAAAACTGGATAAAACCGGAAAACTTAGCAAAAGAAAGAGAAAATTTTCACCTAACGCCAGCTGACTGCCAAACACACAACGAGTAACGCCCATCCATTTAAGTGTGCTTAAAAAGTTTTTGCGCAGATCAAATGGCAAATCTAGTTAGGCAAAGAAACAAATACATACACATGCACGAAAGCAAAACTAATCTGTTAATGCCGGTTTTTTTTTTTTTTTTTTGTTTTTCTCCGCTCTTTCTAAGCTCACAGATATGCTGCATTAGACATATACACGTATGCGTATGTGCGTTTAAATGTACTTACATATTCTAAATGTGCTGTAATTGTGCTTCAAAAACAATGAATAAACTACGAAAGAAAAACTTTAGGTCTCGCTTCCTCACTGTTATGGGTTCTTTTTAAAACCACATATAACAGATCATTGCCTCTTTGCACAATAAGATGCAAAAATCAACGAAATACATTTTTTCAAAACAGTTTTTTTATACCCTACACCAGCTACGGTACGGCGCTTCATCAATTCATATTATCCAAGTCTGAATCGATTTAAGTATGTCTGTCTGTATTACACTTTTTTTACACACACTCTTACATTAACTGTACAAACAATTCATATCATATCATATCATATATATATATATATATATATATATATATATATATATATATATATATATAAATTGATGTAACAGATATAAATAAAGACAAGACAAAAGACTATAGTAATCTCTGTCCCTACATCAGCGTACATTTATTCATATAACGACTTTTCAAAATATGGTCTATGGGCATGGGAAGTAGTCGAAAAAATGATTAGATTCGAATCATTTGTAACAATTTGTAAATACCAACGGACAGATACAAGCACAGTTTAAATTGCTTCAAAAGGTGAAAGATGCGCACCAAGCTGTACTACAAACGGTGTAAAGTGTAATGAAATAAATACATACACAAATTCATGGATTCTCCTTAAAAACAAAATTAATTAATAAATGTTAATAATGAGTTCAAATATTTGTTTTAATAAATTTTGCCAAATCAATATTTACTTTCGACTTAATCGGAATAAACAGCGCTTTGTTCATTACTTTATTGCAAAGAGATAAGATAGGCTTTCTAGAATAATCCGATAATTTTGTTGTCAAAGTTTCCAACAATTCTTAACCATAGTCTTTCTTTTTTCTTTTACCAACAAAAAAAAAAAAAAGAAAAGAAAAGAGAAGAAAAAGAAAAAGAAAAACTACATTTTACTGTTAAAGTTCGTTTTTCTTTATCGTTGCTTATATTTGAACACACAATTGTTAGATCGTTTCGTTTTCACCATTAAC